AGATTGTATCAGTTGCTTGGATAACGATTAAGCACGGTCGTATAACCAACAAAGGCACTTGTAAGCTTGTTCAACTAAACAGAGCTCACGAATTTGTTTTGGAGTGAGGCTTTGTGTGATCCAAGACAGACAGACATATATTATATTTCAGTCTCACCTCACATAAGATACATATAAATATACTTATAAAATATAAGTGAGCCACCCTTTAAGGGTTATGCATTATAAACACTAAAAACAAATAATGGTAAAGTTATATACAGTATAAAATCTATCCACATAAAATATGTTTTCTTCTTTGCAAGATATAAAAGCAGGATTGGCACTGAAATATACATGGTGTTTAAAAACTTTAAGTAAAACTAATTTGTCATCATCACAGAGATCTAAGAAGCTGGGATAGCTAAAACAGACATTTTCATATAAACTTTCACGCAAATCATCATTAATAGGTCAATACGACAGAACATATTTTTCATCCTCAACACTCTCACTGTACTGAAAACATACCCTCTCATTCACATTCACATTTGTATATCTGCCGGTCTCCAAATGCAGAGTAGCAGTACCTGATCTGAATTTGGAGAGGGCAGAGCGATAAGAACGGGACATGCTCATACTCACATAACTTTCAAGCCATACACATCCTTAAGCATTCGATACGTTCGTAATTTATTACCTCCCTTCCTACCGCTTGGCTTGTGTAATAACTCATACCAATCATTCACATACTTGTGCATACAAATATCTCGCACCTTCTCACATACCCGTTTAACACTAACATGAGCTTCCACACTAAGGCCCCATTCATTTAACCTTGCTTTTACTCGGAAATTCCAAATACTCACATGTCCACTCGCACAACTCTCCAACCACATAAATACATACTTATTTATGTAACTGCCACTGCCACGTGCACATACAATGACTAGTTTCAAATAATCAGCGAGACTAGTTACTAGTTACTAGCACACTCATTGAAGATAAATGACAAACACACTTTTCACAACTGACACAGAACGGATCATAATGGACTGTTGGGCATGGCCAATGTTATTAACTTCTATTTGTTTTGTTTTGGAAATGGGATGGTACATTGCTTGTTTGTTTAAACCCTCATTCAGCAGTATTACAGCTATATGAAAGCGGTTCGTAAACAATCGAGTCTGGTCCAGACAATCCAGTGATTGGCATCATGAGATACGATGACGAAAACAATTCTGCCAGAAATTTCAGGGCCAATTTGTGACCTTATGAACACGTGAGCAAACATGCACATTACATTTTGGATCCATCTCCTTGAGATCTTTCCAATGATATAAAAATGTCTTTGTAACTCGCTTCCTTCTGTGTGTCAAGTTAGGACTTGCTGGCCATTCCTATGTTTGTCCCGCCCGTCCTTCAGAGCATTAGTTCTTGAATCACTATCAAAAAGGGATGATACCAGACGTTTGCGAAAAGGTGAGCATACCCTGTCCCTCCCATGGCAACCGTCATAAACGTAAGAAACATTCTGAAATGGTATATTTTATGTACGCTTGTACTTTATGCTGAGTTGTTTGTCTTGAACAATGTTACACGTGCTATATTTGGGAATACACTGTCTCAGTAAAGTACAGATTCTAGTACTTTTGTTGGGGTCAGTCCCATCCGGGATTCAAACCCCCACCCTCAGAGTCAGGCACCTAATCGCCAGCACACAAAGTCACCCCTCTAACCCCATCGGCTACCGCGGCTTCCACAAAATATGGAAGTCTGACAACTGGTAGACTTGACCACGTACTTTGTGTATCCCTCTGATAAGTGTAAATTGGCATTGCTTCCACGGCCGAAAGCTCATGGCATGTGTGTTCATAGAATAATACCGTTTTTATAAGCACAAAAGTGTACTCTGTTTGGGAAAGGGGGTCCATTTTGTGATCACAAATTGATATAAACGAGCTTGATGAATATATTTAATGACTGAGTTTTGTAGTAATAACATCATAAAATGAGCCAACGCGGTGGTATAATACGTTTCTGATTTCTCAACCGAACACGTCTGTGGCAAGCAAATCAAAGGAGGATGATCCTCCATCCCAATCAAACCATGTGTCATTTTGACATTTTTCTAAAATTATGTAGACACTGACACATGAAAATACAATTGTTTTTTTAAAAGCATATTATGTGTTTGTTTATTTTGATTTCCGGATTACACCTCGCGTTGACAAAGAAAAAATTGATCCCGTACGGTTGTGTTGGAAAATATAGGAAGGGAGATAACTCGTGGAACACTAACATCTTGGTTGAATTAAAGTGTTTTTGTTCAGGTATCCCGCTTCTTGATGTCATGTTAAGGGACTACACCTTGACACAATCCACCCCACCCAGCCACCTGTCATTTTGTTATTACCTGTTATGTAATTTTCTGTTGTTATCTGTGATATAATGTTGTCACCCGTTACTTCCCATGATCTACTATCGTTACCTGTTATTTACTGTCTTTCCTGTTATTTGCCTTTGTTACCTGTTAGTTTGTTGTTACCTGTGATTTTCTGTTGTTTCCTGTTGTTACACGTAAGTTTCTGTTGTTGTCTGTGCCATTCAATGAAAGGAGATGCTTTCCTGTAATCATTTTGCTGGTAGTGTTTTATCATGCTCTCGCTTCTCATATGTATAATCAGTAAGTGTAATGATAATTTCTGATTTTCATTAAGTGAAGGAGCCCATGATATAAAGAGCATTTTTCATGCGAGTACTTGAATGTGCAATAAGCAATTAAGTAAAACTGACAAAACCCTTCCTATAATCATAAGCCATCTATACCAAATTGGTACATCTGTTGTGTATATGATCACGGATGCATAGTCATGTTAAGGACTCTATTTCCCGGTATCTTCTGTCTTTTCTATTATTTCCTGTGATTTTCTGTTGTTAGCTGTTATTTTCTGTTGTCTGTACCCAGCAATTCCATAAAAGGGAGATACTAACTGAAGGTGTCTTTCCTGTGACCATTTTGCTAAATCCGGAGATACTTTATCACGCTCTTACACTTATAATCAGTGTAATAATAATTTCTGATTATGAAGGGAAAAAACCCAAAACCCGACAAACACCTTCCTATAATCATAAGCCATCTATACTAAAAGCAGAATATGTAGATGTAAAGACTGATACATCTGTTGTGGATATGATCATGGTGTATAGTCAACGTCGACACGCTCCAACCACTGCGACAATCAGCAGCTATATGGGGAGTCTCGTAGTTACTGCCACTCTCAATAATCACTGTTTTATAGGGAACGTCCTCTGGGTATTAGATTTTGCCAGGTCATTCATCAACATCAAGCAATCTCATTTATACAATCACTCTGTAAAACACTTGTGACACTATACAAACATCATTATATTACCCATGGTTGTGTGCTACCTAATGGCTTTTGAGTGTGTGGGTGGTACTTGAAATCTATGTCATTGTGTGTCAAACAACTAATAATTTAGTTCAATGATTGTGCCGCGTAAATGTATCTCAGTTTCATATTCATGATGATTTAGGGCATATATCAAGTTCCAAACTTGATCGTCAATTAATCAAACCTGTCAGCAATATATTTCCCATGGCGGTTTTTTCATGACATTTGAGTGGTGCACATTTCCAGATGAGTGACCAAAATACCGATATAATTCTCTCTTCATGTGTTTATTCAGGTGAACACTTGTTTGCCTTTGCATATGTTTGTTTACAAGTGCGCAGGATATGCTTTTCGCGAGCACTAATTGGTAGCGATTTGTAGCCAGATGCTGGTCGTAATTCTTCGAATGACTCACCCGTATTGAAGACGTTTCTGGGCGTTTATTATATTGAACTAGTGACAAATGTCAGTTTCTACTATCAACACATAAGACCACCGACATTTACTAAAATAAAAGCCACAAAAAGACGTCTGTCCGCACAATAAGAATATACACTGAAAAACGACAACACGATCTTGTTCAGAGGACACTGTAATGAAAAAATGGACAACAAAACAACCCGATAAACAATGATTGGATTGACTAGATTTAATAACCAGGGACTTTGTAAAGGAGACAGCATGCGTTCCACATACGTTATTATATCTGTTTCATTGCTTGAGATTTAGCGTACTGCGAGTGTTTGCATTGTGTTTCATTTTCATTTCGGAGCACTGGATACAATGGATGTTCCTTTTTGGTGTCAAATTAACTGATCTGAATTTGAAAACCTAACCGATCACAAAAGAGTGAGTGAGTGAGCACCCCTACAAAACGCCACATCCTACATCGACATTGATAATCCGTATTGCTCAAACTGGCGGTGCATAAAATGATCTTACACAATCAAAGCTACGGAGCTTGGACTGACTGACTGAGTTTGGTTTTACGCAGCTTTTAGCAATATTCCACAATATCATGGCGGGGGACACCAGAAATGGGCTTCACACATTGTACCCATGTGAGGAATCGAACTCGGGTCTTCAGCGTGACGAGCGAACGCTTTAACCACTAGGCTACCCCACCGAACCTGATCACAAAAGAAGGCTGTTTACGAACGTACATATGGGAAACCGAATTGTTGTGTAGTATCTTGTTTGTGGTGTTATTGTGTGCACATGCATTTATACATGTGTGTGTCAGTGTGTGTGTCAGTGTCAATGTCAGTGTGTGTCAATGTCAGTGTGTGTGTGTGTGTGTGTGACTGTGCTTGTGGGTGCATGCATATACGTCAATACGTAACACAATATAATAGTCATACATGTGCTGAAGTGTTTGTTTATGTTACGTAGAGGAAAGCATGTCATCAGAAATGAATTACACAGATTTAACTTCTTTCAAAACATCAACAGCAACGACAAACTTCACCACATCGTCTCAATGTTCAGAACACATATAGCGGTAAGAACACGAAAAGCTGTCACGATTCAGGTATGCACAATAAATAAATAAATTACCGGTGTTATTCCAGCAGGACGAGGCTATTTATGTCACTGTTTTAATTTTATCACACGTCCAAAATGCCATTTGGGACTATTTGAGACTGCCTACACTCATTCATGTCAACGGTATCAAATACACTGGAATCCACACCATGAAACGAATTGTTCCCGATACCAAAATCAGGCCACGGACCAGAACGCGTTTTTTGGAATCATATCCAGTGGTAAAGAAGAGACGTCAGCGCTTTGACCACTGGATGTCTCATCACTCTTTCTGGAACATATTGATCTCCTTTTTGGCATTGACAATTCAACCCTTTTCCAGAATTTCTCAACTTTTTTCTCATTTCCGTCCTTTGGCCATTCAATGTACGTTATAGAATCTAAAATGGTACAAAGTGTCTCGTCCATATACACCCGGTCCTGCGTAATGTCCTGAAGTACTATGGGTATTATTCTCTGTTTCCGTTTCAGCATTTCGTGCTGCGCTCTCTGGTACTCGAATCTGCAAAACTCGCTCTGGATGTAACTGGGCGTCAGTATCATGATCGTCCGACGGCTGTTCTCAACTGCTTCGATAATGTTATTAGCAATGGCTGAAGAAGAAATGTTAGAGTTGTATTAGTGAAGTAATACACACATATGATTATTTGACGTTATTTGACAAAGAGGTAGACTTCATTTTATTGTTGAAGAAGATATTTGTCAAAAGGTAGGTGGTCGTGAATGATAATGTTCACCATTTCTAAATATTTAGATAATGATGCAATAAATTGATATTACAATGGTTGATCGGTTTGTTGCTTCTAGTTCTATGGCAGCGGTCTCTAAATAATCAAGTCTGGGCCAGACAATCCAGTGATCAACAGCTTGAGTATCGATCTGGCATGTGTAATATTATTACAATGGATACATCAGGGAATTTGCAGGAATGGCACGGTTGAATTACTATCGGGTTATCGGCAATTGCAGCACATCGATTGATAAAGTGTTTATCACCTACTTATATGTATCGTTTCTCAAATAGCGTTACCCATGACTATAGAACATTCTTTAATTAACTGTTGAGTGTTGGCGTCCATTCAGTGCTAATTAACTATTAAGTACCGACTTTCATTTGGCCTTTGCCAATCACACATCAGCTGTTAAACAGTTAACCTTTGGCTTCCATTGTTGAGCCCCCGTCTTTGTTTTCTTGTTACTTTTGTTTGTTCTCACATGTACATATATATGCTCTCTGCCTCATACCATTCATTCACCTAATGAAGGAGTAAGAATATACACCGAAACGTTATGTTCCTCATGATAAAGAAGTTGACATCCATAAAAATATTCTTCTTTATGAACAATATTGTTGTTCACACGTCGAAACCTTTAATGGGGTTATATATCACCACTTATTGTGGAATCAAGGAAACCTGTGCTGTATTTGAATATGAAAAGTCACCTTGTGTCCTTTGTGTACCGGACTAACAACAGGCCTACAAGGGAGGCGGATGTACATGTGCAGGATATACCGTATCTATACACGTGTGTTTACATTGCTTCGTCATCCCGTCATTGTTGTACGTGACGATCGTGGTCATAAAACAGCGCAATACATTCTATAGCCCAAGAAAAGCAATTATGTATCGCGCATTCAATTGCAAACACACATAAAACATCAAAACCAATAAGATATCTACGCCTGAGTGCAGGTTAGCCTGACTCAAATATGCATTCACCATCATTCACATGGTTGTACTTACTCTCTCCCGGCATAAAGTCTCTGAAGTGTAGACAGAGCTTAAAATTGAGATTCTTCTCCAGTTTAGGATACAGCGTGTGGACTACAAAATCCTCATCCAGCTTTGTTGATTTGTAGGACACAAATGCATCAAAGAGTTTATCATCTGGAATTGAAAATTGACTATTTTGATTGAAGTTGATCAGCGGGATAAAATTTTAATTAATTCCAACACTACTGTGCAGCATTTTAGTTACTGACATATGTTTAAAGTTATTTTTCAGTCACGAGCAGAGACATAATTCATATATATTTATCTATATCATATAACACATTTCTCTATACAAGAAGCCGCTTTTCTCTATAAGCATCAATGATGTACAAGTAAGAATTTATGACAAAAAGGAATCCAAATCCGTAAGGCATGTTGTTTCAAGAAATTCATGACAGACGTCCAAGAAAAAAGAATCTTTTTACAGACTTTACCTGTCACAGCACATTAATTCGCTCAACGGAATCACGTTTTGTGGATATATCTCGAAACCATTATCCACAATAAAGGGTCACTATTACGAAATTCCTTGTATGTAACTTTGAGGAATTCTCAATAAAGCCTCTATCAACATAGCTCAGAATGTGTAGGTAGTGTAATCGTTGTATAAAGTGTAGTTCCAATTTTGTTTTCGTTTTCTTGTGGCAGTAGCAAGAATATGAATGCCCTCAAGACATGCACATTTATCCTGTTTAACGATTTGTTTGACTTCTATATTTTATCACATGGATCACATTGTGTCTTTCTATACAAAGATCAATAAAAATAATTATGAATGATTATTGTATCAAATTGTTTCTGCCACTTGGTTCAGAATATTTGAAATTTCATTCAAGTAATTCACTTGAAGTACACCGCAATAATGTATTTACTACCTCATTTATATCAAACTAGACAGTTTAAACGCCCCATTATATAACAAGATTAACTTTAAACATAAAATCTCGTTTATGATAGCGGGCCCTCGAACTTCCAAGGCAACCGTCTCTGCACAATAAGAATGTGGGCTAGCGTAGCGAACTTAACGACAATACGTGCTGTGGTTTATTGTCATACGTCGAATGAAACCACAAAGACTGATTAAGCCACACATCCACAAACCAGTGACACACTTATGTCACGTTTATGGTCAGCTTCATCAGTAGTCTGAATACACCTGTCAAAAGCTTAAGATTGCTCGCCAAAGGTTACCGGTAAGCATATCTTGCATATGCATTGCGAAGGAGGAAAAGCAGTTTATTGGTGGCAGGATCCGGACGTCAGATAAGTGTCATCACGAGGTACTGACCAATAGAGTTGTTTCGGGAAAGAAATTGGTAGACGGATCCGTAATGTATTGTATAATTACTCGACATAAAATACAAGGACACAGACGTGTTGTGAAGCAGTTGAGGGGATAGTATATTTGTTCTTCTTTAATCTGGTTGGTTCATGTTTAAAAGAAAAGGTCAACTGTTTTGATCTTTCAGAGGGTAAAATATTTATATATACTTTGAATTTTGCTCCATCATATTTCATCATATTTACTAATCACTGATAATGTAACTGACTTTGATGTGTATTTCATGATAATATATTTAACTAAATTGTACATATTACAAAATTATGACATGGCAAGTTGACAAATTTTATTGATAAAGGAAAAAAAGAGACCGATACACAAGTCGGTTGTGGGAATTGAATAATGTTAGTTGAGTACTGAACACATGAACTCACCATCATCTTCAAAGGGCTGGAACATGTAGACCAACTTCATGATGAAGATATACCGCCTCTTCCACAGGATGTAGGGCAGGATGACCAGAAGGACTAGCAGGATGACCAGCAGGCCCACACAGCTGCCCACAACCCACCAGTGCCAGAACGGCGCCTGCACCTCTACAACTTGAACATACCACGCCCAGTTAGAATGATTTAATATCAGACTGCATTTAACAGGACATGAACATGTATGCAAGAAAAGTCTGGAGTGGTTCAACCACCTTTACATATCCAGCAGTTGTCATATTTATACATGAAACACACATATGTGACTCGAGGCCTGTGGTGCTCAGGGCTGTTACTACACCTCGTGGTCGTGGTCGTGCGTGTAGTGAGCATTTGTAATGTTTCCATTACACATGTATTAATGAATAGATTAAAGTCAAACGCATGGACTGACTGACTGAGTTTGGTTTTACGCCGCTTTTAGCAATATTCCAGCAACATCACGGCGGGGGACACCAGAAATGGGCTTCACACATTGTGCCCATGTGGGGATTCGAACCCGGGTCTTCGGCGTGACGAGCCGACGCTTTAACCATTAGGCTACCCCACCGCCCCTCAAACGCATGGAACACCCTTGAGCCTAACTCCGATGGCACTGCATAGGCGGATCCTGAACCCCACCTTGGCTCTGCCATTGCACAACATTAACTTCAATGAGGTCTTTAGTTATATTCTGGATCCGCCACTGCACTGGGTTAGATAAAACACGATTCGTTGTGTTGCCACGTATCAAGAATACATCAGGATGTACTGACAAATCTAGACATGGATTATACGCCTTATGACCAAAGGCTTACATAAATAGCACTAGGCGACAAACGGTGTCACAGTGCACTTGTACAGTGCAGTAAAGGCCTGACTGTTTCTGTGACCTTGCCGCTAATGCCCGGAGAGGGAGTCGTCCTCGTTACATCACTTGTCATATGAATGATGAGGGGCTTAGGACACGTAGACAAAGCCAAGGGTGTAGGTCAGGGTTCCGAAATCTTGTGGTCTATATTTGTGTATAACTTGTTCTGAAATCACTTGACGAGACAAGACGTTTACATAATGATTGAATGTGGTTCAACGTGTCTTGTCAGCTTGATGCATCAGGAAAACACACAGTGAGGCAGGCCTTGGACGTTTATCACTCGTGTAAAACCACGTGTAGTCTTGGCAGACTTCACAAACAATTGGGATTGGGATTGAACCCATGGTTTCTCAGAATACAACAGATGCAACTCTGCACTGGGAAATGCGGCTACATTGACGACTTGGCCACCTCGTTTACATAATATGCGTAATGGAGTACAAATTGAAAGAACACTTTAAAACCTGGAGTAATCGTTTACTGAGAAATGGAGAACATGCCTGACGTCAAATACATTCACCGGCGATAAGATATAAGCTGATGTATGTACATACTTATAGACATATATATCGAACAGATTCTTTCTTTTCTGTCCAATTCACCAGCTACACTGATTGCTTAGAATCCAAGCAGCTAGCGATATGTATATGTCAAGTACGAAAGCATAAATGAAAACAGACATAAATCTTGCATCTTTTATTGAGAAAGTTAAAAGATGTTAAACACTATAATCGGACTATTGTTTTACTGAGAATCAAAATGTGAAAGAAACCGCATATACTTTTGATTTAATGCATTCTAAATGTTCAAAGAGATATAACATCAAACATATCACATGATCAAAGGTAAAAGGGTTATATATAGTGTGTCTTATTACCCAATCCCCTGAAACTGAGCTGTCAACAAAGCAGTTCTCAGTGCTGTCACTGTCGTTAACCCCTAAGGCTATACACACTGAGCGAGTGAGTGCGTAGGTGAGAGAAAGAAATAGAGCGTGCGTGCATGCATGCTTGCGTGCTTTGAGCGTTACTTCAGTTACATCACGTCATATCAGTGATTTGGAAGGAAAGCCTGAGGTGATGTTGACGAGCACAATAATGGTGCTGATTAACCTAGTAACATCATCCCGGCGATTCTGGATTCGAACCCTCAACCGCAGGTTTCTCTACACAGCGGATTCTGGCACATAAGATGGTACGACAAGGGCATATTTGAGAAACAAAGAGCTAAGTATTGCCATGTCAGTTGTGTTAAAAGCCATACGTGAACATCGTTGAGACCAACGATAAGTGGAATTAAATTAGAGCAATTTCGCTAAGACATTGTAACGACAAAAATCTATATTCGTGAATTGAAGAAATCACGAATTCCTTTATGTTTAGGATTATGAAAGACTTGAAACAGATCTTGCAGAGAGGCCCAAAGCACCAGATTACCTGGTTCGGGTTTTGGCCGTAGAGTGGCACAAGTCGGACCCATGTATTCCGAGGCACAGCTGCAGTAGAAAGTGCCATTCTTGAAGACATCACAACGTCCGTGTGGTCCACAGTTGAGTGGACACGGCTCTTGACAGAATACTCCGAACCAACCCCTCTCACAGACGCACTTTAAAACAGACCCTGCGATCGTGGTCCTATTTTTGGCTCCTTTGTAGCAGCTACCATGTTTGCAGACAAAGGCAGATGATCCTAAGATACACTGGCGGGCCGATAGAGGAGGGAGACTCGCTGTTGATGACGTTGTGGCCACAACAGAAGATACAGCTTGCGGCACATTCTGGGTTTGTGTTGGTCCTGAAGCAGAAAGAAAAGACGATAAATTATAAGACTGATTATATAATGCCCAACAATACTCCTATATTTGATGATGGATTTCGTAGTTATGTTTTCGACTTTAATTTTGCAGGTGTTGTTTGTTGTGTGTTTGTAAAACGGGAGATTAATAAATAAATGTTGTTGCTTGGTTGGTTTGTTGTTTAATTGTTTAATCGAGTCTGGAAAAGACAATCCAGTGATCAAAAGCATGAGCATCGATCTACGAAATTGGGATACGATGACACGTGTCAACCAAGTCAGCGAGCCTGACCACCCGATCCCGTTAGTCGCATCTTACAACAAGCATGGGTTACTGAAGACCAATTCTAACCCGGATCTTCATGGGTCTAATTTTGCAGTATTTATGTACTGCTCCGTAAAGCTTCGGCACTCCACAAAACTTAGTCCCATCCCCAACGCAAAGACAGTTTACCTATGATTTACTACTCTAGAACATTGCTAAAAAGGTAAAAAAAAAATATTCCTAAATAATCAGGCATACCTGAAGACGACGTTAATTGAGGTGCAATCCTGATGACATCCTTACATCGGCCTCCAGTAAACCCAGAGCTGCATTCACATGTCTGACCAGCCGAGGTAGCTCTACATTGTCCATGTGTTCCGCAGTTCAGGCTACAAGGTGTCTGGCAGAATATGCCCACCCATCCTGCATCACAGAAACACTTGAGCTGCCCAGGTCTGCAGTAACCATGCTGGCAGGTAAACCCCGTGAGACACCGACGCTTGGATAGTGGACGAAGAGTGGATGTCAGCCTGGTAGTAGGAAGGGAGGATGTTGCAGAAGACGTAGACGTTACAGAGGTGGAGTTGGATGTTGCTGCTGAGAGGGAGCTTTTGTCTTGGGTAAGAGTGGTGGCAAGGGTAGTCGGGTTTGAGGATTGTGATGACGGTAGATTGTTGTCATTTCTGATTCCTGTAAAATGTGAATAAGAGTGAGTGAGTGAGTGAGTGAGTATGGTTTTACGCCGCTTTTAGCAATATTCCAGCAATATCACGGCGGGGGACACCGGAAATAGACTTCACACATTGTACCATGTGGGGAATCGAACCCGGGTCATCGGCGTGACGAGCGAACGCTTTAACCACTTGGCTACCCCACCGCCCCGTGAATAAGAGTACTTGTATGACACTTAAAAAGAAACCATATACTTATAAAGAACTACCATTGCAATTATGAATAAAATTACCTTTAGGCTTCAATTATTATCATTTGAAGATATATAGTGACAAGAAGCATGATTACATCAAAATAACAACTTTACTACAGCTGGAAGAAAGAAACGAGTCAATCAGTGATTCAGCAATATTGCATTGAACGTGTGACATGCTTAGTAATGGGTTACGGACAACACCTGATGTTTGTTGTGCGTATAGCTGCAAAACTCAAGACGTAGCGTTTCGACGTGCACAATGTGCAAACAGACAATGTTTCTACCTGATCCGACTGCTCGGAAAAGATTGTTGTGGCATTGTAATATTGTTTTTATATCCAGGTATATTTGTATAATCAATGCTATATATACCCTGTTTGTAAATAGAGTTCAATTTATTGTGATATTCCATTTTGTTTTGGATTTATTAAATAGACACAATTACCAACCTGATCCAGGTGTTGTGGTCAACATCTCGCCACACCAACGTCCCGTGTATCCCCACTCACAGATACACACAGGCTGACCCCCAATAACACGACAGGTGCCCTTCTCCCCACAGTCCAGTGAGCACGGGGTCCCACAGAAAGGTCCGGACCAGCCCTTGTCACAAACACACTTGAGCTGACCAGCCGGACAATGTCCATTCCTGCAGGGGAATCCTGGGGCACAGTTGCTGACTGATGTGGTAGTGGGCGGGATGACATCTACAGAAATTAAACGGCAGGTAAATGTAAGGCATCTATCAGAATTGCTGGTTGTCGGTGTCAAATATGTGAAGTATTCATGAAAGGAAATATAACAAATGAACAAGGAGAAAAATGGAAATATGTTCCAAGAAATAAGCATTATAGTGCAGAACACCCAGAACTTTAATCTATTCACTTTATTCACTTGTGAAACATAACAAACTTGCGTTGAAAAGCAAGTTAACAAAAAAAGCAAATAGTTTTAGTCTACGTGGTCGGTAGACTGAAAAGTCAACCAAATTGATGTTTTCTTGATAAAATATCAGTGACTGATTATAATGAGATGCGATTTCCGAAACTCAAGACTCATTTACAAGTAAATACAAAAATAAAAAGATTCATCCACATGACATAAATTTGGAAGCAATATAAAAGAATTCATATTAGAAATGATTTTACATTTAACCCATGCTCATATTTGGACCTCATCTAAAAAAAACGAGGATACAGAACACTGCAAAAACAATCCCTTCTTGGTGGCGAAATGTTTGACACCGCTGTCAGGTAACAAGACAGCAGACACATGAAGGCCACATGGTGCCCCGGAGAACAGCCAATATAATCACAGCCTTAGGCTTGACCGTTCCGCTGACGTTAACTTAAATATACCTTCAGTCAGTTAAGTATGTCCGTATGTCGTTATTGTTAGGAGGTTAGGCCATAAAATGGCATACCTTAACGGATGACCTTGCAGGGAAGGCTGTATCATACTTTACGTTCCGTAGGTAACTGACAACTGATGAAATAACAATATTGGTAAACGGCTTTACAATATACTTCCACAAATGGATATGTATATAATTTTTATGGAACGTGTTTTTGGTCATACTGCATCCTTACTACGAACAAGCTTTATAAAACGGGAGATGAATAAATAAATGCTTGGTTTGTTGTTTAACCCCGCACTCGGCAATATGCTAACTGTATGGCGGCGGTTTGTAAATAATCGAGTCTGGACCAGACGATCTAGGGATCAACAGCATGAGCATCGATCTACGCAACTGGAATGCCACGACATGTGTCAACCAAGTCAGCGAGTCTGACCACCCGATCCCGTTAGTCGCCTCTTACGACAAGCATGGGTTGCTGAAGACCAATTCTAGCCCAATTCTAGCAATGAATGATTGCATGAATGAAGGAATGAAGGAATGAATGAAGAGGACGTCCATGTATTCTTAGTCGTGATTATTCGATGAATAGAAAATTGCAGTCACGGGTCTTCTGATAAATGTGTTAATGATGGCGCACGATGAACGGATGAGCATATCCTGGCTGCATACTATTTCTGTACAACTGTCGACATGAAATAGACAATTCTGCGTTGTCTATGGTTGTTTTTTCGGAAGTATGATCATGACAAATATGTAGGCTGAGTAAGTATCAAAGATGCTGACGTCATAACTAAAGGTGTGTATTTCCTTGCCATTCAGTTTATTCAGCGCACACATTTGTCAACGTCCGAGCAAAGTCATTAATGCGTAACGAAAACAGTTAAGATTTGGAAAATGTTTTCTCCGTACTGGCGCTTTGGAAAGTTGAAAATAAAACAAAATGACTTTCTGTTAAAGCGATTACCATGGACAGGTGAATTTACTAAATAATAACTAATAACTATAGCGCAGAGGTTGATCATGCCCATTCAATCGCCTCTTGCGACCAGCGTAGTTTGCTGGGGATCCACACGGAACCAGCCAACATCACAACGGTTAGCTGAATGGTATGGTTTGTTTCTTATATGTATAGCATACTAGCGAGAGAGTATAATTTTATGCCGCTTTAGCAATATTCTAGCAATATGACGGCGGTGAAACCAGATATGGGTTTCACACATTGTGCCCATGTGGGGAATCGAACCCGTGTCTTCACACTTTAACCATTAGGTTACCCTACCGCCCACACAGTACTACGCTCATGTATGAAAAAGGTTACATACACCATATTGCCCCAGGCCTCGAAATTCACGAAAATAGTGTTCAATGCAGTTCGGAGTCTGACACTATCCATTAAGTCGCATCATCCGACGACCTTTATTCAATCTATTCAGACTCCGGAAGGAGGTAGCCTACTGGTTAAAGCGTTCGCTCGTCCCGCCGAAGACCCAGGTTCGATTCCCCACATAGGTATAATCTGTGAAGACAATTTCTCTTGTCCCCAGCCGTGTTATTGCTGGAATATTGCTAAAAGCAGTGTAAACCTAACCTCACTCATTCACTTAAACACCGAATCCCCAAAAGACCGAAAAAAGTCCGAAAGAAAACCAAATAAATAAATTACCTGGACGTTTTGTTGTGTTTAAATCTCGCCTCTTCTCACATCGTGAACCAGTGTAGTCAAAGTTGCAAATGCAAAATGCTGTACCGTTGACAAAGACGTCACAAACACCATGCGATCCACAATCTAACCCACATGATGTTTGACAAAATATTCCAGACCATCCAAGGTCGCAGTCACAGCTGCTGCCGGATTCCGAGCAAATGCCATGTACACACACAAAACCGGGAAAACATTGTCTTTGAGACGAAGGCCTCAACGTCGTAGTCGCAAACGTTGCTGACAAAGCTGTCGAATCATCATCATCACCGTTATTTGCATTGTTGTTTGCTGACACCAACGCCAGAAGCAACACATGAAGACACACCAGCACACGAACAAGTTCAAAGTGTGTTGACATTCTGTTAACTTTCTCAGCTTGTTGCATCCGGTTGGAAAAGCTGCATTGTACCAGCATCAGCCATGTAGGGCTATCCACGTTTTAATTCCGCCCGAAAAACTATAACATAAACCCACGCGTTCCCAGCGGTAGAACCGGGCAGAGCATTCTGTCTGGACGTCTCAGCATGAATCCATGACACCAAACAAATCTATAACGTTTATAGATCTCCAATCTTAAACATTCGCAAGTTCCACAACAGCAACCACGTGCACATCTGCATGTGTGTGACAGTTTGAAAAATGGCCTGTGTATTTTCGCCTGTGTTCATTGCCTCAAGTATTTCGTACGAAATATAGCTCCTCGTTCCAGTGCTACACTCCATATAAAGTTATTGCCTAGCAACGCCAGCGGCAGATTGCGTAGGGGTAGCGGTTGCTTTGTAAATGAATTCAAATGAAAACTTTATGTCAGATCATCAGAGATACTGTCAGTAAACGCATGCCCCATAGTGAGATGTCGAACCGACCTATTTGTGCACTTCATGACAAGGTCTCGTTAACGACAGCCTCTGACGTTAGTGGTGATGCCTATCGGTTTCACGTGCATGAAACTGCACTTAAAGATAAAAGAGCTGGTAATCGCACGTTGCTGGATATCACAGTGTCGTGTTACAATGATTGAGTATGATGAATATTTAATTGGAAATGAAACGTCAGTATTTGAGGGAGCAAGAGATAGACCATATACAAAACGGTGATTTTTATTTATCAGTCTTCCACGCTCCGTACGTTGGCTCGTCACGCCGAAGACCCGGGTTCGAATCGCCACATGGGTACAATGTGTGAAGCCCATTTCTGGTTTCCCCCGCCGTGATGTTGCTGGAATATTGCTAAAAGCGGCGTAAAACCAAACTCAGTCAGTCAGTCCAAGCTCCGTAGCTTTGATTGTGTAAGATCATTTTATGCACCGCCAGTTTGAGCAATACGGATTATCAATGTCGATGTAGGATGTGGCGTTTTGTAGGGGTGCTGGTCAGAAAAACCGATTAGATTTATAATAATACTGACTGACTGAGTTTGGCTTTACGCCGCTTTTATCCAGAAGTATCCATGTGGGGATTCGAATCCGGGTGTTCAGCGTGACGAGCCAACGCTTCAACCAGTAGACTACCCCGCCGCCCTTTATAATAATAACAATAAGTGCATTTATAATGCGCTAACACCATTCACTAGGCTGAGCAATGTGATTATTACCCCATTTAACCCAAGCTGTTTGTGACGTGCTAGAAGTTGCTAGACTTATCCCACCGGGTACCCGTTTTCTGCTGAGTGAACAGAGGCAATTTTGAACAAACTCACTTGCCTAGGATGAGACAACATGTATTACATATGCGTCGTTGTAGGGCAGGACTGAAGTCCTAGAAACTTTCAGGAGTCAAGCTGCCAAACACGGTCACCCATCCAAGATTTGGTGCTAGAACGTTTTTGGCACATCTTCTGAAATACACCATACCTTACTAAACCGGTATACAACTTACAGTACACATCTATTCAGGTTGTCACATAACATTACTTACTTAGTCATGATTATGACCTGAGCATGACAAATCGTACGTATATTGTGATACGCTTTGCATTTCCATAACACACAGTTCATACCTTTAACACCACGTATGGAACCCTTAAAGATCGCACATTAATATACACTCTTCAAAAAAGGAAACGCATATTCTACTTTTAGAATACTTTATTGCGTTAGTTTAAGGGCAATTATTTCATGCAATTTCAATGGTAAACAGGTGAAAATTCACACGTCTATAGACGTTGTTGTGTTGATGTTTACTTGAGTCCACAAGATAGCGTCAAAGTCAGTACTTTGTATGGCCACCATTGGCAGCAATTACTGCTCTGGACCGACTGGATAAGTGGACGAAGTGGTTCTTGCGGAATTCTTCCCCACTCTTCCTGTAATTCGAAGGCCAGTTGTGGAAGTGTCTGAGGCGTGTTTTGACGTTCACGTACACGCCGACCGAATTCATCCCATAGGTGTTCTATCGGGTTTAGATATGGTGATCGGGAAGGCCATGGTAAGACATTGACGTTAGAATTGGCAAGGTAGCGGACCGTGATGAGTGCTGTATGTGAAGTAGCGTTGTCCTGCTGGAACAACTCCCTCTGTCGGTCCATAATCGGAAGCATGTGACGTGCAAGGACTTCGTTGATGTACCGATTTGCTTTCAAATCCCCCTGAACCACCACTAAATCAGATCTTCGTGTGCTGGATATCACACCCCACACCATGACACTAGGGGCAAACGTTCATTACTCCGACCGTACACACTCTTTTTTCCATCTCACCGGTGAATAAGAAATCGTGAGTCATCACTGAACCAGACTTGCTTCAGGTATCCTAAGGTTATAATAATACATATATATAGCGCCTGGTTTCCAACGTATCTGCTGCTCAACGGCGCTGCTACAGTTCAACTTGATGGCCTATGGATATGCATCTCGGAAGAGAAATGTCTTAAAGGAGAATACGAACGAAAACAAAAAAAAATGATATATTGTAAAGAATATTCTTAAAGTCACCTTCCGTGATAACATTTAACACAAAGTTTTGTAAAATAGCAATAAAAACACAAAACAAAGTATTCGTATTTCCGCCTATTACGGAAACACCCGACAGTTAATGAGCAGAGGTGGTATCACGTGACATGACGTCATATGTGCCTGTTGCTGATGGCTTCCTATTTGATTTTGCCTCACAACTTAACAGTGTCTCATGGATTCTGAAGCAGTAAAAGATGTTCCCGATGTCATTTCTGAAATGGGTGCTAGAGCGTATCTATACGATCCCATTTTACATCTTGCAAGACAATCTTCCAGTGAAGATGAAGAAGAAGAATCAAGCAAAACGGAGGCACCGCTTGAGGTCAAAATAAATTTAAAAGTAGACCATATCATTTAACAAGAATACTATTTGTCAGCAAAATGTGATACAGTATAACGTATCAAGTCTCCATACAAGATCCCAGCCTTGTCAAGCAGAGATAATATTCACGACGCAGATAAGTTATTCCCCGAAAACTGGTGAATTCTAAAATACTAGTCAGGACAATGTATGTTTCCCCAGTGTTTGGTTATTAAAATAGTTACTAGTATGGAACTCGGCCATTGCCTTAGAATGACATCTTGTCAGCCAATGAGAATACAGAACAACTTTCACGGCACACACTACTGACAGATAGCGAGTCTGATGCCAACGTCCGTAACTGGACAAAATGGAAAACACTGAAAGCAACAAGTACTTCATGATTTGCCGTTGTATTCGACAATGTTTCGGGTAGACTGCAGCATTTAGGGCTCCAAACCGAAAAGAACGTTATAGCGAAATATTTTCAAGCTCATGTGAAACCTCTTACTGATTTTGATAATATGTATCTCATGGGTACCAGTCGAATTGCCCTAGCTACAAAATGCCCCAGCAAATTTGGTCATTCATTCTGATTTCGTAAATTTATTTAAGATGACTTAATATATGCCGTAAATGCATAGTTTTTGTCAACTTTGATATTATATTCTTCATGTAAAAGTTATTAGAAGGTAATATTTCTGAAAAATGTTCCATCAGTAAACTCATAACTATGTATATACTTTTATATAAAGAACATAATATCAAAGTTGACAGAACTATGCATTTATGGCATATATTAATCATTTTAAATAAATTGGGGCATTTTAACTACCGCCCTGGGGCAATTTGACCAAATCTGCTTGGGCAATGTGTAGCGGGAGCAATTCGACTGGCAATCGGACTTGATTTAATTTATGTTAAAATACCACTGACAATAAGTTGTAACAGGGAATGATTGAGTAAAAATGAATCTCGTGGGCACTTCTTCCTTCTTCAGCCTAGCTTTGGGATTTTCATACCCCATGTGTGCATGTCTCTTTCATATGCATGATCGGAGCATTTCTCCTGCCTAAATCTGTCTCTTTACTTCGTAAACGGAAGAAATGGTGGCTGTTTCCATTGTTCGATGATTCCGTGCATCCCCTGGCAACGGAATACACCATCGTACCATTTACAGAAACGACAGAAACAACACGATTTTTATTACTGTAGCGCTTGTCCTTTGTCAATATGGAGGACGCTAGTCACATATGACGTCATGGGTGGAACGGTCACGTGATTTCCAGCGGAATATGAATAATGGCCGAAGCACAGAAACTGTTTTCGCGATAAAACATAATTGGGGTACATGTTTCTGATGACTTTATCGTTCACCCAGCAAATTATTGCAATTGTCTAGTATTCTCCTTTAGGTTGTTATCGGAAGATCTATGAGTCTTTAGTCTGTCTAATGTCGAGAGGCAGACGATTCCAGAGTACTGGAGCCAGAACTGAGAAAGACCTCTCGGCCAGTTTAGTCTTAGTTTCAGGTACAGCGAGAAGTTGGCTGTCTGCTGATCTCTGATTTCTTGTGGGCTGGTATGGACATAGTAATAATTTGAGGTATTGGGGTGACTTCGGGTCATGTAGAGCACTGAAAGCCAGAGTGAGGATTTTGAAATGAATTCTTTGCTTTAATAGGAAGCCAGTGTAGGTTTTTCAGGGATGGAGTGATGTGGTCTGTTTTCGATAATCTTGATACTATGCGTGCTGCGGTCTTTTGGACTCATTGCAGGTGTTGAATGGAGCTTGTGCCGCTGAGGAGGGAATTGGAGTTGTCCAACCTGGTTAAGACGTATTTATGCATTAGGAGCTTGGTGGTATCAACATCGAGACATCCACGTATCTTCCCGATGTTCCTTATATGGAAGTTTGCAGCTCTGGCTACTGTAAGTGCTTGGGTCTCTGAGGACAAGATCTTGTCCAACATTACTCCGAGACTGCGTACAGTGTCTGATGGTGGCACAGTGGAGTTTCCTGTGGTGCTTGGCGTCTGGGTAACCTTAGTTAGTTGTTGTCTAGTACCGATGATCATGTATTCCGTTTTTGCAACGTTGAGTTGGAGGAAATTACATGACATCCACCAACGGAGACAACTTTCAAGTCTCTAGTTCCAGTTCCGGACTCTAGGACACCACCGCAAGCAATTTCGCTGATGGTAGTCTCTCGAAACATGGGCGACAACTGGCCTTCTGGTCGAATCCCCACTTCACGAAATCGATTCCTGACAGTTTGGTCCCAAATTCTTCTCAAACAAGGGATGTGTTGTGCAGTCTCCACGGCTGTGGCAAGACGATGATGCAGGTGAGCAGCCCGGATGTAGCGGTCCTGAGCTTAGGTGATAACTTTTGGACGGCCGCTTCTTGGGCGATCATGGGCGGAATTGCAATTGGTCTGCGGGAAACGATCCCAAAAGCAAGATTTGGTACTCAGAGTCTGTCTGATGAACGTTGAAATGTCGGCAACCGACGACTGCGACTCCCCAGCTTCAAGGCGGCCTATGGCGATGTTTCAATGGACGGCACACATTCGTGGCATGATGATTTCCTCTTTTCCAGGCAAAAACGAATGACAAAATTAAACACAACGTTTGCCTGTTTATAGTGATTGAAACTGCA